GGCTAGTGGCCCGGTTATGATCTAACAGGGCGGTTAACGGTTAGACCGCCCGATTTTTCCTTCAATGGTTTGTAGAGTTTTGATGTTCATTGAGGTGGTTTACTCACTAAGATCCACTTGCCTGATTCCCATACAATTTTTGGGACATTCGTGGGAAATTGCACCTAGCAATCCATTTAGATACGATGGCTAGGTGATGAGGAACGTAGATAAAATATATAAAGGTGGAGATGTATGGTAAGTTTTCTCTTGTTTAATTAGAGGAAAATTAACTTTTAGTATTTCAAGACAAAGGAATTATCCTATAGGACCCTCCCCCACCTATGTGTGTAGGACTTTAAAGGATCACTATTAAATTTGACATGGATCTCTAAAAAAGTCAAGTCTCACACCCATGTGATAACTATTCTAGAGATCGGTGCTAAATTTTATGGTGATCATTTGGGGTTCTACACGCATGGGTGGGAGAGGGTCCTATAGGATCATTACTCTTCAAGACAATACTATTTACGGAGCACATCTATTATGCTCCCTTGGAAGTATAGTTTACTTATACTCCATCGGTCATAACACCTACTTGGGAGGATTTTTTCAACCTAAAATTTTGCGAACCACTTAAATTACTAGATGATTATTCTCTCAAAAAGAATTTTAAATTTGAGTTTTTTATTAGTTAGATCTTACCATCTAAAAATTGGATGGCCTCTATTCAATCTCGATACATTATCTTTTCAAGTGCATAGAGGGTTCAATTAGAAACTCTTTTTCATTAAGATTAATGTTAGGATTTAAGAACCCTCTTAGGTGTGGAAATAAGAATCTCAAAAGTTGGATCCCACCAAGATCGTGTACTTATCTAATTAGAAACAAAATAGGAGAAATCACGAGCCATAGTAAGAGAAATAAAACATTAAACGCACACCCCATAAGAACACAAATTTACGTGATTCATCCCAAGAGGGCTACATCCACGGGGACAGCAAACTGAAATCAACTATACCAATGAAAGCTATATTACAAATTTTGGGACATAGAGTTACCTCTAAAACCCTCGACAAAATCCAATCGAATAAACCCTTTTAGACCTAGCCTCCCCATCGGCACCATCGTCAACCGCTCATCTTTATTCCACAGCCAACCATCGGTACCATCGTCAACCTCTATCTCTATTCCACAACTAACCATCGGTACCATCGTCAACCTCTCATCTCTATTCCACAGCTAACCACTGTCCAGGAAGAAACAATCTTCATTCTACAGTTAAACCACTGTTCAGGAAGAGAACCTTGAGAGCAACCGAAACTTTCTGTGTAAAGGGAAAACTACCCAAAATTTTAATGGGAACCCCTTTCTCTCTAAAGGGCAAATCACCCAAAATTTTCATGAGAACCGCTTCTCTACAATAAACTAACCTCTCAGTTTACATGAAGCACATCCATGGTGTTTCTTTCCTTAGGAATCTCTTTTATCACCTTAGGAAGCTCTCTTCTCTCTAAAGGGAGGCCAAAGAGAGGCATTGACACTAATGGATAAGAAGCCCTACCTCTCTATTTAGAGGAGAGGAAATCATCTTTCCCATATGGTGACCAAATAGGGTACACAAATTATGTACACTTTCATCCCATACATACAAGGTTAGGAGTCCATACCAAATAAAAAACTTCATATAGGTGTTACATATATGTCAAGAACCGAAATCTATATCCAAAAGTCCTAATTTTTTTGGATTTCTATTTTAATCTATAGGTTGATATTCAACAATTAATCTATGAGTTGAAGAGGTTATATCCCCAAAATTTGGGATCTTGAAATGAATTCTAAGTGGGGTTTTACTCAGGGGAGATCTTTTCTTGGAAGTGCCTTTTATTTTTACTGGATACAAGCATTGGATGTTGTCCTATGGCCTTCATGCCCTAACCACAACGAAAGATGTCAGACCTTTAGAGGCACCATTTTTCATTTTGAATTAGGAGAAAAAGTATAGACAAATTGTTGATGACGAAGTTCATGGAATGATAAAATTTGATGTATAAATTTGTTACGTTTCAACAAAATTGTATATTGTTTCTACAAAGGCTAAGGAATGGCTTGGTTCTGCCTCCTAAGAAAATCCCAGATGCTAGGCTTCCAACCAGCAAACTCAAAATACGTGTTGAATCATATTTGCTGGGTTAGTTTGATGAACAGCGACCGAAGCAAGGTAGGCTCTACAAGAGGCCATGGAAACCGATGCTTTCTCCAACTCTTTTGATGCATTCTTGGTGAAAAGAGAGACTATTTACTCCATACAAATGCCTCACAGGGCATTCTGAGAGGATCGCATCCAGTGAAACCGAACTTTTCTTCAGCCATCAAGAATAACTCTCTAAAGATGGGGTGGTTAAGATAAACCAAAGGAATCATGAAGCGGCTTCCATCTGTCGTGTAAATGACAAAGTGACCCTAATCGGCGACTAATACAACTTTCTCAAAAGCAGTTGTTTTGAGGGAGATCCTCACCCTTTGTCTCATGGCTTGCTTCTTCCATAAGCGAGCTGTCTCCATGATCCTCTTTGAGTTCATCGTGTTTTGAATAAAGAGTATTGACAGACTGAACTTTGAATACAGGGAGAAGAGGAGAGGAGAGAAGACTGTCGCTGATGGTGAAGTGAATTGGAGACCGAACTTTGAATGTAAGGAGGAGAAGAGAGAAGATTACTAATGATGGTGCAGTGCAATGGAGGCAATAGATTTTACATAGCATTTTGGGGCATGCATTGTGGCCACAAAATATCAAGAGAAAAGGAATTATGAAAGAGACAAAAAACCTAATATGATGGTACTTGCTGGTTGCAAGGAGTGCATTGGCACATGAAATATGTTTTTGTCTATTTCATTGGCAAATTGAGGCCATAAGTTTTGATATTCAACCCAAACATTAACTACTGTTGGGGACCACTATTTAAAGCTATGTGTATAATTCTAAGGCAGTTTGGCAACATCCCATGAGGCTTTGTTTATGTCCCATTATTTCAAAATCAAACCACTTGCTTTAGTTGAAACAATATGTGAAAAAGCTCAAGCAAGCCTCTCATCATTGTAGGTCAGTTGAGTGTGGCCCATGAGAGGTGAGGTGATGACTCAACTAACTCCAAACATGACTCAAGACTCATCATGTGTTATTGCACTCCTGGTAACCCAACAACAACTATGACTAATTACACAAAAAAAAACAGCAGCAATGGCTCTCTCTCTCTCTCTCCACACTTCAATATAAGACTGAACTCATCACCTCCCATTCACACCACCACAAGCTCATTCTTGTGCCTTAAACTCTTCAATTCTCATCTTTTTTTCTCTTCTTTTCAGCGAATACTAAGTTCTTCTAAACTATGTATCCAGCCATGATCAATTCGAAGAGGCTTTTAGAGATAGTGCGCAAATGCCAGAAAAAAGCCATGAGTCAGAGGAGGAGAATATCCCTCAAAAGAAATACTAGTAATCGAATGGATTCAGTTGCTGTTGAGGGTCATTTTGTGATTTATACAGTAGATGGAAGCCGATTTGTAATTCCCATAGCCTTTCTTAACCACCCCATCTTTCGGGAATTGCTTTTGGTGGCTGAAGAAGAGTTTGGATTCATCGGATCTCACCCTCTAACCGTGCCTTGCGAGTCATTTGTCATGGAGTACATAGTCTCCTTGTTGAAAAAGAATGCATCAAAGGAGGTGGAGAAAGCATTGATTTCCATGGCGTGTGGCAGAGCCTCTCATCCTTCTCTACTCCTTCATCAAGCAGTCTCTCAGCCTATGATTCTCCATGGCTTTTAAGGCATGGTTGTTAACTGAATTGCAACTCCAAAGTCTCAATTTGAAGGGACAACTAAACCACCTCTTGTATTTGTGCACACAACTTACAATTTTGTTCTTAATCAATTTTTTTTATGATTTTTTGTCACCAATTTTTTGGTTCTGGATGAATGGTTGTGGTAAAGCTTTTCATGTCCAGATAAAAGTTTCTCTTTATCGCAACTTGTTTGAGATATGGATCCTCGAATATGACCTAACGTCTTAAGCTATATACACTTTGGGTTATGCGCTTTTATTCTTTCCCTTTTTCAGTTTAGGACTGTCAACAGGCCCAGGCCCGCTTTATGGGGGTTCCTGGTTCCAGGTTGGGTTCTGGTCGCATGTTATTGTCTGTGGGCTTGGCCCAGTAAGCCCGAAATATTTCCAGGACTAGCCAATGCAGTGCTGTCTACCTATTTTTTTTAAAACATATATGGAAAATTGCTTCATGTGGGCTGGACCGCATGATTACATATGCGATCCTGTAAAGCATTTATCTTAAAGATGGATGTAAGTAGGTGTTCCATCTAAAACATTGGAAACAAACGATCCAACTGTTTTCTTCCTAGAATTATTATTTCTAGTTTTTAAAATTTACTTGTTTTTTCATATTCATAATCTCTATATTAGATATTACATGTCCTTGAAAATTAAATAAAAAATCCATCTTAAAATAAAGTTATTAATAGACCCACATTTCTACATATGCAGGCTTGGCCGCACATAAATTGGGTCCAACACATATTAGGTTTATGTATTAAACTTTCTTTTCAGATTTATATGTGGCACGGCACAGCATGGCACGGCATGGCATGAACTTTACTTCGGTCTCGGCCCTCGCTAGCATAGTTCGAGAGTGACTTGGTCTAGCTCAAACCTACATTTTGGGCCCAGGCTAGGCTCTGGTAAATGCTGGTCCGACCAATTAACCTTATTTCAGCTACTGCTATGAAAACTTGCTATACATCTCCGCGTCTATATCTTTCTACATCCCCAATCTCCCAGCCGTCTAATCTGCACGGATGGCTGGGATTGTTTCATTACTAATCTCAGAGCCCTCTAATCTGACCGACCAATTAACCTTATTGAAAAAAAAACTTGAAACCAAAAAAAAACTTAAACCAAATGTATTAAAAAAGGGTGCAGTTGGGATACGGATGTATCCATAGCTGTATAGGTAAGGTGCACCTTCAAATTTTATCTTGATATATAATTTTGATGTAAAATGTTTTTAGGATTATCTTAAAATCTATTTTTGTATCTAATTATAAATTTTTAAATTTAAAAAATAGTTAAAATCAAGTCGATCCATAAACATATGAAAATCTTGAAAATACACGGTGTAGATAATATGTTGTAAAATGCACTATTTATTAGACTTAAAATCATTTTATTTTTTAGGGTCATACATCTCGATGTCAAGATAATCAATCAAAAGGTTTTTCAACATTAAAACTACCTTTTCCTATGGATTTTTGAAGTGCATCCGTAGTTCTCCATTTTAAGGTTGCATCCTTATATAACTTTTTTCATTAAAAAAGAAGTATTAGATCTTACAAAAAAAAAGCAATCAGCGAAGGCTACTGAGTATGAATTTGCAGGGGATTAGAGCTGGGGATATGGAATTTTAGAGAGAGAAACACAAAAAAAAAAACAAAAAAAACACGATTTGGTGGTTTTTCGTTGAGAGAGAGATGGCTTTCTAAAGGGAACAATGGGTAATGTCTTTTGGAAAAAAAACAAAGGGGGAGCTTTGGGATGCCCTTTGAGATGGCCTAATTTTAGAGAGAGAGAGATGGCTTCTCCTTAGATGATTAATGATCTTTCAAAAAAAAGAAAAAAAAGAATGGCCCGAAGATAGAGTTCCAGTATCAAAAACCTTGCAATGGCTTGAAATTCATGTTCAAGCATATCTCTAGACACCTGAAAATCTTGAAAAGAGAAAGTAGAAATAACTTAACGGGAAAAGTTTATATAGTATTGAGGCTCTAAACAATCAAATTTGAGCTTACCTCAAAAATTTCACTAGAAAAGGTTGTTTTGATTATCAAATATTTTGAAATCGATCATCTTGATATCAAGATGTATGGAAAAGAGAAAAAAATGGATTGCAAGTTTTGGAAATAGTGTATTTTGTAACGTATTTTTGGATCGTCAATTTTCAAGATTTTGAAGTTTTCATTGATACGTCGATCTACACTATTTTCGAAGCTTCAAATTTTATAAATAAATATGAAACTATATTTTAAGGTTATCACAATTATTTTCAATATTGAAACCACATCTCCTGACACTATTTGAAGGTAGGCTCTAATTCGATTGTTTAGAGCTTGGGCTCTATACAAACCATACCCTAACTTAATATAAGATGTATTATTTTTAGGACTAGAAATTCTTTGTTCTTTATATTTATACATCTTGAGGTCGAGATGATCAATTTGAAAGTTTTCCAACTTCATAATACTCTTTTCTAATTAATTTTTGATGATAAAGCAATGATAAATTTTGATGTATAAATTTGTTACACGTAAACAAAATTCTATATTTTTGGTACAAAGGACAACCAAAGAACTCAAAACATATTACGGATCATATTTGCTGGCGTAGTTTGATGTAGGCATGGAGAAGGTAGAGAGGCTCTACAAGAGGCCATGGAAACCAATGCTTTCTCCAACTCTTTTGATGCATTCTTTCTCAAGAGAGAGACTATGTGCTCCATCACAAAGGCTTCATAGGGCACTGTAGAGGACCGCATCCTGTGAAACCGAACTTTTCTTCAACCATCAAGAGTAGCTCTCTGAAGATTGGATAGTTAAGATAAGCCAAAAGAATCATGAAACGGCCTCCATCTACTGTGTAAATGACAAAGTGACCCTCATCAGCGACTAATCCAACTTTCTCCAAAGTAGTTGTTTGGAGGGAGATTCTCAACATTTTGTCTCGTGGCTGTCTCCTTCCATTTGCAAGCGATCTCCATGATCCTCTTTGAGATGATCGTGTTTAAAGATTTTAAACAAACTAAACTTTCAATATAAAGAGGTGAGGAGAGAATACTACAGGTGGTGGTGAAGTGAAATGGGGGCACATGTGTTAGTGGCAACAAAATGGTTAGGGAAAGAGAGAGTGGGGTTATGAGACAAGACAATAAAAACAAATGTGACTCTTCTTGTTGGGTTGCAAGGAGTGCACTGGCACATGAAATACATCTGTATAATCTATTGGCAAACTAGGGCCACAGGTTTTAGATGTGCTTAATCTTCAACCAAATCCTATGTAACAAATACTGGATATGATGGGACTGGATATTGTTGGAGACCTTTGATGAAAGCTATGTTTAGCTAAGGTCTTTTGGTAACACCCCATGAGGCTTTGTTTTCAGTCCCATTATCTCAAAAGAAAACCACTTGAATTAGTTGAAAATATTTGTGAAAAGCTCAAGCAAACCTTTCATCCTTGTGGGCCAATTAGGTGTGGTTTATAAAGCCCAGCAGAGATGGAGGTGATGACCAACTAACTCCAAACATGACTCAAGACTCCACTTCATGTGCTGCTGCACTGCTTGTAACCCGACAGCAATGGCATCCTCTCTCTCTCTTTCTCCATGCTTCAATATAAGACCAAGCTCATCACTTACCATTTTCACTGCCACAAGCTCTTTCTTGCACTACAAACTCTTCTATTCTAATCTTGTCTTATCTTTTTATCTGATACAAGCATAAATCCCTCTACTTGCCCAAAAGAAGAAAATTAAGTTCCTCTAAACTTTGTATTCAGCCATGATTAATTCAAAGAGGCTCTTGGAGATAGCACGCAAATGGCAGAAGAAAGCCATGAGTCAGAGGACCCTCAAAAGAAATACCAGTGATCGAAGGGATTCAGCTATTGTCGAGGGCCATTTTGTGATTTATACAGTAGATGGAAGCCGATTCATGGTTCCCTTAGCCTTTCTTAACCGCCCCATCTTTCGAGAGTTGCTCTTGATGGCTGAAGAAGAGTTTGGACTCACAGGACGCCATCCTATAACTGTGCCTTGTTATTCATTTGTGATGGAGTACATAGTTTTCCTGTTGAACAAGCATGCATCAAAGGAGGTGGAGAAGGCATTGGTTTCCATGGCATGTTGCAGAGCCTCTCATCCTTCTCTAGCGCTTCAAGCATTCTCTGAGCCAATGATTCTCAATAGCTTTTGAGGCGTGGTTGTTAATTGAAATACTACCCCAAAGATTCAATTTGAAGGGACAACTAAACTATTTCTTGTATTTGTACATGAAACTAACAATTTTGTTTCTAAACAATTTTTTTGTGCACTTGTTTGATCAGTTTTGGTTCTGGATGAATGGTTGTACTAAAGCTTTTCATATTGAGACAAAATATTTTTTTTTTCATGATAACTTGTTTTGGGATATGGATCTTCTCATTAGGCAAATATGATCTAATATTTAACAATATTAACTTTGGGTTTTGTCATCTTCTTCATCCCCTTTTTCAGTTCAGGGCTGTTAAAAGGGTGGGCCTGGTTTTTTCCAAAGCCTGCTTTTGGGTTGGGTTCAGATTGCTTGTTAAGGCCTGTGGGCCTGGCCTAGTAATGCCGAAATATTTTTGGGACCGGTCGGGGCCAGCACTTACCATATTTATATTATGCCCGGCACAAACTTTGGTCTGGTCTTGGGCCTCGTTATCATGAATTTGGGCTGAGCACAGAACAAACATTTTTGTGGCCAAAATGGGCTCCAGTAACCCAGGCTTGGCCCATTAACAACCTTATTTTAGTTACCACTATATGTTTACGAGGCATTGGGACGAGTTAATTTTTAGTATTTCATGTTGGGCGTGGTTTGCCTAAGGTTGCAACCATAAACAATTAAAATAAGATGCACCTCCAAACTTTGTCATGAGATGCAATTTTGGTGTCGAAAATTTTTAGCATGGTACGAGAATCTATTTTTATTTATAATTATAAAATTTTAAACAACAAAAATAGTTCAAATCAAGCAGATCCATAAACATATGAAAATATCGAATATAGACCATTTTTCCTCGATGAATATTTATCTTTGTGGAGAACTTGCCTCTCTCTTGAGTGAGGTTGCTCTCGATGAATTGACTTTTTTTTTTTCTAAATATCCTTTTGGTTCTTAATTTATTGATCCCTCCCTTGTTAAATTTATATATATCTTTGTATTTATCATTACCACGTTATAGGAGGCTCTTTAAAACATGCATGTGCGACTCATTGTTGTCGTTGTTGTTAATGTGGTTTTTAAATTTAATGCATATCTCATCAAATTTAATATTCCGGAGGTAGATTAATGTGATGTTAAAAGTTTTTATGTTAAAATGTGTATCATTATAAATAGGAATAGCTTAAAATAAGGCTTTACAGTTACAGAAAAAAAGTAAAGCCCCACCTTAAAACTCGTCCTAAATTACAGTTCCGACATACGAAAACCTTTAAATATATAATCTTGACCTTGATTATTATGGTTGTAAAAGAAAAGAAAATTTCAAATCATAAGAATATCATATATTGTGCATATCAAAAAAAAGAAAAAGAATAGCATATATTGTAAGACATTATCTAGACCGACTATTTTCAAGTCTTCACGGATTTGTAAGATCTGTACTATTCTTTGAACTATAAATTTTATAATCAGTGGTGAAAATAGATTTTAGAGGATTTTCCATACCCAAAATAATTTGATAACGACGTTTCAATATTGAAGCTTTACTTGTTTTCCATAAGGCCTAAGTTTAACAGCAATTGCGCTAATAGCTGTTATCACACTTACTAGCATCATAATATTATACTTTGCTAAGCAGTTTATGAAAATTATCTAGTATTTTTAATTGAAAAAAAGTATAAATTACTGTTTTTCTTATTAGTAGATAGACATTAGAGATACAGCTATTTGGTTGCAAAGAGTGGAAAGGCACATGAAGTTGGGTCTTTGATTAGCTGGCATAGGTTGTTAGATTGTTTACATTTTGCTCTTTGAGTGGATTTTCATTCACCTCTATCTTTTTATGCATTTATTCCTATCATGTATTACGCCCATTGTGTTTAAGCTATTGCTCGCAAAATTGAATCGAAACGGTTAACTGGATATGGGCTTGAAAGCGGTTTAACCGGCCAAACCGGCAAACTGGTCAATTCAACTGCTCTAACCAGACAAGTCCCAGGTGGTAAAAAAAAGTGTTGAAAAAACATTAAAAAATACCAAAAAATCTACTAAAATATGAAAAGAATATAAAAATTATTAAAATAAAACACATTCAAATGAAGTTGAAAATTAATGAAAAAAATAGATTTTAACCCATTTTATATTTTTCAATGGCTATTTTTAAAATTTTCTAAAAAAAATGAGAAAATATGAAAGTGAGTATTAATTACCAAAACAATTTTTAATATTTACCATAATGTAAAAAATATTTAAAAATACATTACAAATCAAATTCCTTATTTTTGAGAATTTATATATATTTTTTGAATTTTTTTTTAAATACCGATTGATCACCCTAACTGGCCAAAACCGGAACCGGCCATTGCCAGATTCCGATCTAACCGGGCGGTTAGCGGTTAGATTGGGCGATTTTATGAACAACGGTTTAAGCCAAAGGAAATCCAGGGTACCCAACAGAAAAGATATATCTAGAAGCAAGCACTCAGGTGAAAGTGCTTGGGAAGGTCCTTTGATCATCATTATGCATATATAAAATGACAACCTTGCGGATATGGCTTCATTTTCCATGTCAAATGGCTCCGGCCTCGGACTTGGCCCTGGCCCGAGCAGAGTAATGTACATGGCCCAAAACACCCTAAAAATTAAAAATTTAAAAAAATGTGAAAAAAAATAACATACATACTTCAAAAGTGAAACAAACTATAATCAAACATCAAAAAATGGATTTATAAAAAATTTGAATTACAATGGGAGAGATTGTTTTTGAAACTTTATCCCCTCTCAGGTTAGAAAAATATCCATGATGATGTTGAATATTGATCCCATATTCTTGACAATGCAAAAGGAATATTGTCATTCTTCACATTATTAAGAAATGGATCTTTTCTTGAGCCGACCCTAAATAGTTGAGAAAAGGCTATGATGATGACGATGATATCTTTTCTTAGAAGTAGCTCTTATTTTTAGATAACTGGATTTGAACGTTGTATGATGTCCTTTGACCTTCATTGTTTAACTGAAGAAAATAGGCTGGACTTTAGAGGAACCATTTTTCCAATTTGATTTTAGCAGAAAAAGTAAGAGAAATTGTCTATCAAGAAGCCAAAGGAATGATAACATTTGGTGTATAAATTTGTTGCATTTGATCAAAACTGAATATTGTTTGCATAAAGGACAAGCATGTTAAAATTGTTAAAGTGTATTTTCTAGAAATTGTATTAGTCTTTATTTTATTTTATCATGAGTGATGTAGTGATGTTGCAGTTGTAAGTTTGTGTAGCAGGAAGTTATAAAACTACTAGGTGGTTAGTAGTTATTGTTGTAACTTAGAAGTTATTGTTGTAAGTGGGGAGTTATCGTAGTAAATATGGTGGTAAGAACCTCTATTTAGAGAGAGGTGTGTGGTGGGAAAATCGGCTCACATATTTAAGGTTAATCTTGGATTTCAAGATTGTAATGTCTTTTGTACCCTTGGGTCATATGTATTAAGGTTAATCTTGGGTGTCAAGATTGTAATGCCTTTGTGCACCTCATGTTTTTCTTTAATGAATGTTTTTCTTCCACTTTATCTTGGCAATCCTTCTTTTTTGTATTTGATTGTGAGTTTTGGGCTAGTGTGATATTGTTACACTAATTGAGAAGTGGATTGTTCCGGTGATGTGGCATTCATCTTTCTTTACAAAGCAATAGCTTTGTTCCGCCTCCAAATAAAATCCTGAATGCAAGACTACAGGCGAACTCAAAGTCCATGTTGAATCATGTTTTCAGGGATGGTTTGATGAAGTGCTAGCAAAGCGAGAGAGCTTCTACTAGAGACCATGGAAACTAATGCTTTCTCCACTCTTTGGGTGCATTCTTTCTGAATAGGGAGTCTATGTGCTCCATTACAAAGGCCTCACAGGGCACTCTCTTCTTCAGTCATCAATAGGCACTCTCTTCTTCAGCCATCAATAGTAACTCTTTAAAGATGGGACGGTTAAGATAATCTAAAGGAATCACGAAACGGCTTCTATCTATTGTATAAATGACAAAGTGGCCCTCATCGGATATCAGTCCAACTTTCTCACAAGTAGTTGCTTTATGGGGAATTCCCATCCTTTTTCTCATGACTTGCTTATGCGATTTGTGAGTGATCCTCTTCGAGTTGATCATGTTTGAGCAAGGAGAGAAAACCACAGGAGATTGTGAACTGAACTGGAGGGTAAACTTCGAATATGAGAGGAGGTGATGATGAAGTGAAATGGAGGCAATAGATCTATATCGCATATTGGGGACTGCACTGTGGCGCCACAAAATGGCTAGAGACAGGGAAGGGGGAATTCTGAGAGATGCAATAAAAACAAATGTGATTACACATGTTGGGTTGCAAGGAGTGCATTGGCACATGAAATGTGCTTTCATATTTCATTGGTCGACCTCAAATCATTGGGACGAGGTTTGAATAATGATGATTTCATATTACAAATTACGGCCACAGATTTTAAAGTACTTAATATTCAACAAAAGCCTATGAGACCATGCTGGATAGGGCCCAGGTGAGGACCTTCATTCAAAACTGTGCATATGGCAAGTTCGTTAGGCAACATGCCATGAGGCATTGTTTTTTGAAACTTTATCTCAAAACCAAACCACTTTCCTTTAGTTAAAACCATTTGTAAAGAGCTCAAGCAAGACTTTAATCCTTGTGGGCCAATTGAGTGTGGTCTATAAAGGCAAGTGGAGAAGTGACGCCCCAACTAACTCCAAAACTTGACTCAATACACCAATTCATGTGCTGCTGCACTCCTTGTAACCCAACAACAATGGCATCCTCTCTCTCACTCTCTCTCTCCATTCTTCAATATAAGACCAGCGCATCACTTCCCATTCTCACTACCGCAAGCTCTTTCTTGCACTACAAACTCTTCTATTCTCATCTTGTCTTCTCTTCTTTCCTGATACAACCGTAAGTTCCTCTACTTGCTTGAAGAAGAATATTAAGTTCTTCTAAACTTTGTATTCAGTCATGATTAATTCAAAGAGGCTCTTGGAGATGGCACGCAAATGGCAAAAGCAAGCCATCGGTCAGAGGAGAAGAATATCCCTCAAAAGAAATATCAGTGACCGAATGGATTCAGTTGCTGCTGAGGGTCATTTTGTGATTTATACAGTAGATGGAAGCCGATTCATGATTCCCTTAGCGTTTCTTAATCGCCCCATCTTTCGAGAGTTGCTCTTGATGGCTGAAGAAGAGTTTGGACTCACAGGGCGCCATCCTCTGACTTTGCCTTGCGAGTCGTTTGTGATGGAGTACATAGTCCACCTTTTGAACAAGAATGCATCAATGGAGGTGGAAAAGGCATTGGTTTCCATGGCATGTTGCAGAGGCTCTCATCCTTCTCTAGTCCTTGAACCATTCTCGGAGCCAATGATTCTCCGTAGCTTTTGAGACATAATTGTTAATTGAAATACAACCCCCAAGATTCAATTTGAAGGGGCAAAACCATCTCTTGTCTTTGTACATAAAACTCACAATTTTGTTCCTAAGCAATTTCTTTATGCACCAGATTAAATTTTGGTTCTAGATGAATGGTTGTAGTAAAGCTTTTCATATCGAGATAAAAGCTTTGCAATTTGTTTAAAATATGGATCTTCTCATAAGGCGAATATGATCTAATGTCTTAACCATGCTAAATTTTGGGTTATTCCATCTCCTCATTCCTCTTTGAAGTTAGGCCCGTTAATGGGCCTCGGCCTGGTTTTTTTATAGGGTTTCTGATTGGGTTCAGGTTGCTTGTTAAGGCAGCAAGTGGCCTAGTAAGCCCGACATATTTTTCAGACCCCGGCTAGTGCTAGCCTGCCCCGGATTTTTTTTAGCATGTATTAGGAATATCAAATTTTCTTCTACCATATTTATATGCACGAAATTTTGTCCGGTCTCGGGTCTTGTTATGGTGGATTCGAGTCTGACTTGGTGAGGCCCAAAAATTCCACTTTGTGCGCGGACCAGGCTCCGGCCCAGGCCAGCCAGTCCATAACAACCTTATTTTACCTACCACCATATGCTTACGAGGCTTTGGGAAGAGGTAATTTTTCGTGGTCCATGATAGTAATATTTATTGAGCAAGCTTTCTATGCTTCTCCTACATCATAGACGTTCTATCCTCCCCTTTATCCAACCGTCCATTCTGAATGGAGCGTTAAGATTGCCCCAATCACAATGTCACATTTCTACAATATTTTATTTTTAATTTTTTTCTATAAACTATTTTAACACCAAACTTTGGACGTCCATTCCTCTATTAAACTCGCACTCGCAAAAAATATAAAAAAAGTATTTTCAATAAAATAAAATGACCAAAATACCCCTAAAAATTTTAAGGGGTATTTTGGTCATTATATTTTATAGAAAAATTATTTTTAATATTTTTTATAAGTGCGCCCCAATGAGAAGATGGCAAGTATGAAATTTTACATTCATACAAATTATATAAAAGAAACTAAAAATAAAATACTTAGAGATGTCGGATCTAAGATCGAACGATGAGTGGCTCTCTTGATCAAAATTGAACGGCTGGATGGTACGGAGAGGATAGAACTTCTATGCCATAAGAGAAGCATAGATACCTTTCCCATATTTATGTAAGGACATTTATTTGTAGATCAGTCTAATAACTTACCTCTCTTAAGAAATGCAATTGTGACTCATTCTTGATTATCTGCAACCAGGATTTCATCAACATGGGAACGCTTAAAAAATAATTACCGAACTATCTCATCAGAATTAGTAGGCCCGAGTTCTAGGTATAATAATTAAGTAATTATTTTTACTTTAAATAATACTAACTTTAATATTATTATGGTTAATTATTTTGTTTTAAATAGAATTATTATATATTATTAAACTATATTACTATTTAAAAAATTAGAAAATAAATAATTATGGCATGTAGTCTATAATTGTAATTATAATAATACATGAGAGTTTAATAATAGCCATTATTATAATAACTAATTCTTCTGAATATAAATTTGATTGGAAAAAAGGCTAGGGTTGTGGAGGTAGCACCCCACACTATGCTCATCATGTTGTAGTTTCCATTCCCACCACTAACACCTTCAAAAAAGTTAACTCAATCTACCCAAAAAGAAAAAGAAAAAAACAATATAAATTTGATAAATTATTGCGTTACTAATTTTAAACGTATTAAGTATTGTTAGTTTTATTATTTTTAATTCTTATAATTATTGATTTATTTTAATATCAGTTAGTTAGAAGTAAGAAAAAAAAAATGTTATTAGTGTTGTTATTTTCCTTGTTTTATTTAATATATTTTATTAATAAAAAATTTATAGAAAATTACATACATATCCGTTATAGTTTCTATTATTATGGCTCTACCGAATAGCTTCCGATATCAAAACGGAAATTTCAAAAAAAAAACGATTTTACCCTTTTTCGGTTGTTAAACAACCGAATTCAAAGTATTTTCAATTGTTCAGGGCAATTTCGGTTTTTGAATAAGCGAAAATTTAAAATGTTAAGTTCTTATATTTTTTTTTCTCTCTTGTGGGTCTGGTATCCTCTCTCTACATTACATGAATAAAATTTTTTTTTTTTTAACTCTCTCTCTCTCTCCCGTCTTTTTTTGGTTAAGTTTATAATCCTCAGATTTCTCCTAAATTTAGGGGTTTAAAATAGCTGATGTTATTAGTGTTGTTATTTTCCTTGTTATATTTAATACATTTTATTAATAAAAAATTTAGAAAAAATTACATACATATCCGTTATAGTTTCCATTATAATGACTCTACCGAATAGCTTCCGATATCAAAAAGAAAATTTAAAAAAAAAACGACTTTACCCTTTTTCGGTTGTTGAACAACCGAATTCAAAGTATTTTCAGTTGTTCGGGGCAATTTCGGTTTTTGAATAAGCGAAAATTTAAAATGTTAAATTTTTGTATTTTTTTCTCTCTCTTGTGGGTCTGGTATCATCTCTCTACCTCTCTCTGTACATTACATGAGTAAAAATATATAATTTTTTAACTCTCTCTCTCTCCCACCTTTTTTGGGTAAGTTCATAATGCTCAGATTTCTCCTAAATTTTGGGGCTCAAACTAGCTGTTCTCTGATTTTATCGGATAACCATGACGTCAAAGAGGTAGAGAGAGAATACGCCACAAGATTTATTCTAATCTCATAATCCCTCATATTTCTCTCAAGCTAGTTGTTCCCCTTTGATTTTATCCGATGCCTACGACTTCTGAGAGGTAGAGAAAATAGGCCACAAGAGAGAGAAAACATTTTTTGGTTATTGAAGAACTAAAAATTAAGCGAAAATTAAATTTTTCGTTTTTCAACAACGGAAAATTTTAAATTTTTGGTTCTCCAATAACCGAAATTCGTGTATTTTGAGTTGATTAACTTAAAATACTTTGAATTCGGTTGTTCAACAACCGAAAAAGGGTAAAGTCGTCTTTTTTTTAATTTTCATTTTGACATAAAAAAACATGATAGGAAATAACGGAAACTATTCGGTAGAACTGTAATAACAGAAACTATAACGGATATGTATGTAATTTTCCCAAAAATTTATAAAGGGTTGAGACTTTAAATTTTAGAATTAAAGTGCACCTAAAAAATCCATTGGAAAATGTTGTTTTAGCATTGAAAAACCCTCTAATTAATCATCTCGGCATCTAGATGTATAACTACAGAAAAAAAAAAGATTTGAAGTCACAAAAATAGTGCATCTTACAAGATATTATCCGGACAGTCCATTTTCAAGAATTTCATATATTCATAGATCTAGTTGGTTGAAACCAATTTTAGAGTATAAAATTTTATAAATAGGGATAAAAATAGATTTTTAGGCTATCCTAAAAAAACTTTACACCAATATTACATATTATGATAAAATTTAGAGATGCGCCTTAATTTGATTGTTTAAGATTGCAACCTTATGCAAACCACACTCATCTTATTAATTTTACATTCATCAGATAGATTAATGTGATGTTGAAAGTTAATATTGTAAAAATTTTGAGTATAAATTTCTATAAGTGTGACTATAATGTAATATTTTACAATCTAGTTTACGAAGATTACCTAGTATTTTTTTAACATGGAACAAGTATAAATAACTTTTTTTTTTAGAGGAATGTATAACATCAGAGCATTTACCTTATTTCAGAAGTGATACATTTCCTGTTTTTTATGAGTGTAACAGTAGATGTAGGCCAACTATAGATAGCTTTTAGAGACAGAAATATGTGGTTGCAAAGAGTGGAAAGGCACTAAGAAGTGGGTCTTTGATTAGTTGGCATTGGTTGTTTGGTGTTTTGCTACTTGGCCTTTGAGTGGATCGTCATTCAACTGTGTCACTTCAATGTGTTTATTCATAACATGCATTGGGCCCATGGTGGATGAGGTTTAAGCAAATCCGGGGAGGGTCCCCAACAAAAAGATATGGCTACCCTTGAATCAAACACTCAGGTGGTGCTGGAATGGTTTAAATTGAGTAAATTGTTAAATTGTTATACTTCTATGCGGCCAAGCTCGCATATGTAGAAATGTGGGCTACCACACGAGCTCTCATAAGTTTCTGAACCAACTGAAAATTCCCTTCCCTGAAACTGATTAAGCCTACAGTAAAAACCCCTGCAGTTAAAAAAGTGCACCGATAGGTATGAGGGAGTTTCTGACGCGCCTCTTCTGATCGCCAAACAAGTGTTCTGTTTCCAAATGGGGGATCCCAGTCTCAGCCGAAGAACCCATCTTTCAAATTTCACAGAGACACTGCTACACCGCTACTCATTACACGCTCTCTCTCTCTCTGCTTTTTCGTTTCCATGGAGTCCAGTTTCTTGCTTTATTATTCGTTTGTGTTCGAGGGTTGTTGTATACATCCCACCATTTCTTAACCAGCATCTTTATGTCTTCTCTCTGCATGTTCTCTTCCTTGCCGGTGTACCTCCCTGGCTTCAACCCTGTTCCAACAAACGCCACAATTTGACCTTCTTCAGCTCCACATTTTCCAAATGGCCACACAACATGGTCATAACCAGATTGTAAACCAGAATAATCGCCGTGTAAACATCCTTGATGAATATGCTCAAGAAGTACTCAAAAAAACTTAAACCAACACAACCCATTAACACTTCCATTCAAACCTAGAGAGAGAAACACACCCAACATTGTAGAGTAACTTAGAGAGAGAAAAACACACCCAAAATTGTAGAATAAACTAGAGAGAGAAACCCAATAATTGTAGAATTTAAAGAGAGGCCTAGATGGATCACCAAGGTGAGACAGCCATTGAACCTTCTCTGGTCACTGTTGGCAATACCCAATCTTGTATTGAGGGGTGTGAAAAACGTTTAGAAGTGACCAGACAAGATCAGGAAGATGGGAAGAAGTGGGGAGAGTGAGAGCCCATATGAAGCAGATGGAGTTAAGGAAGGAGCCTGGGTGTAGTTGGATTGAGTTAGGGGCAAAGTTCATGGATTTTTGCAGGGGATTTTGCAAGGGATTGAAGGTACCCTGTCTTTGATGAAATCTATAAAAAAAAATGGAGTTTTAGAGAAGATTGAGATCAAAGGCCATCAACGGCTTCCTTTGGCAAGGAGAGAGATGTTGGGAGAGAGAGGGGGATGTTTGGATGTTTGCATACACATGGAGAGAGAGAGAGGTTATTTACCCAAAAACAAAAAAAATGGACAGAGAGAGAGAGAGAGAGGGGTTAGGGAAACACGTGGAGAGAGAGATGAGTAATAAAAGACATTTTTTAAAATTTGTTTAGGTTAAAAAAAGAGCGTTAAAATGAATAAAGTTGGTTTCAAGGTTACAAGAAATAATGCATGAGATATCCATGCATTCAGAGGTTATAAAAAATAATACATGGGATCTCCATGCATCCCGAGGTTATAAGAAATAATACATGGGATCTCCATTAGTTTTCATTGTTTTTAGATGGAACACCTACTTGCATCCATCTTTAAAATGGATGCTTTACACTTTTTGGACCGCATATATAGTGGTGCAGTTCAGCCCGCTGAAACAATTTTTTTTAACTTTATGTATAAATTAATATGCAAGATCTAATTATGCGAAATGGTTTCGTGCAGCCTTAGTCATATCCAGAACCATGACACCACACCTTCTTCACCCACATTTTTGATGGGAGAAGAGCTTGTAGTGATCCAGATCAACTATCATACCTCTGAAGAGTTTCTTGGAAAAATGGATCAAGAGCAAAGAAAAAAGTCTCACCTTGTGATCTGGGCTGTCCATGTCAATGCACTGTGGATCAGTTACTTGGAGGATTTTACCTTTTTAGGTTGTCCAGTTTCATTTTCTTGTGATGGATATCAAGATTCAGGTGTTTTAGAATGTTTTTTCAGGCCTCAATTCTTCAAAACAATGGACTTTTCAGTGTGGGCCGAAAAGTGTACAGTGCACCTGTGGCAACATATGACAGACTCTTATTTATTTCCATGATATTTCCTTTTCATTCCCTTTTCAAGTAAGAAAAATGTCCTTGATGGGGCTTGCTAATGATCACATATTCGTTACAATGACAAGGGAATATTGTCATTTCTTCACTCTAGTAAGGAAAGGGTATGGTCTCTAGGAAGTACCATTTATTTCTGATTAATTAGATTTGAACATTGGATGTTGTCCTAAGGAAAGAGGCCAGACCTTTAGATGAGCCATTTTGCAATTTGATTTAACAGAAAAGGCAAGACAAATTGATGATGAAGAAGCTAAAGCAATGATAAATTTGGTGTATGAATTTGTTGAAGTTAAAAAAAATTACAAATTGTTTTTACAAAGGAAATGGCTTCGTTCAGCCTCCAAATAAGTCTTGAATGCAAGACTCGGGACTGGTGAACTCAAAATCCATGTTGAATCATGTTTGCAGGGGTAGTTTGATGAAGGGATAGGGAAGCAAGAGAGGTTCTGCATGAGGCCATGTAAGCCAGTGCTTTATCCAACTCTTTTGACGCATTTTTTCTCAAAAGGCAGACTATGTATTCCATTACCAATGCCTCACAGGGCACCCTGAGAGGATTGGATCCTACAAAACCGAACTCTTCTTTAGCCATCAAGAGTAACTCTCTAAAGATGGGGCGGTTAAGAAAAGCCAAAGGAATCACAAAGCGGCTTCCATCTGTTGTATAAATGACAAAGTGGCCCTCATCAGCAACTGGTCCAACTTCTTCACTAGTTGTTTTGAGGGAGGTTCGTTTCCTTTGTCTCATGGCTTGCTTCTGCCATTTGCGAGCGATCTCCAAAATCCTCTTCGAGTTGATCATGTTTCAGTAAGGAGATTGGACTAACTAAACTTCGAAGGTGAGGATGAGAGGGGACGAGACTGCAGGTGATGGTGAAGTGAATTGGAGGCTAAACTTTGAATATAAGTAGGAGAGGAGAGAAGACTATAGGTGATGGTGAAGTGAATTGGAGGCATTGAATTTATATATGGCATTTTTAGCCATGCACTGTGGCCACAAAATGGCTAGAGAAAGGGAAGGGAGAGTTATGAGAGAGACAATAAAACAAATGTGATTGTACTTGTTGGATTGGAAGGAGTACATTAGCACCTGAAATATGTTTTTCTATTTCATTGGCAAACAGGGGCCACAGGTTTCAGACATGATTGATATTCAACCAAAACTTATGTAAAAATAGTGGATTCGACTGGGAGATTTTTGGGGACCATTATTGAAAACTTTGTGTACATGCTAAGGTAGTTAGGCAACACCCCATGAGGATTTGTTTTATGTCGCATCATCTCAGAATCAAACCACTTGCTTTAGTTGAAACTGCATGTGAAAAGCTCAAGCAAGTCTTAAATCCTTGTGGACCGATTTAAGTGTGGTCTATGAAGGCAAGTAGAGAGGTTTTGACCCAACTAACTCCAAACATGAATCATGGCTCCATGTTCTGCTGCACACCTTGTAACCAGGCAATAATGGCATCCTCTCTCTCTCTCTCTCTCTCCATGCTTCAATATAAGACTAAGCTCATCACCTCCCATTCTCACTACCACAAGAGCTTTCTTGTACTACGAACGGTTCTATCCTCATCTTGCTTTCTCATCTTTCCTGAGACAAACATAAGTTCCCCTACTTGCCCAAAAGAACAATATTAAGTTCCTCTAAACTTTGTATTCAGCCATGATTAACTCAAAGAGGATCTTGGAGATAGCACGCAAATGGCAGAAGAAAGCTATGAGTCAGAGGAGGAGAATATCCCTCAAAAGCAATACCAGTAATCGAATAGATTCAATTGCTGCTGAGGGTCATTTTGTGATTTATACAGTAGACGGAAGCCGATTCATGGTTCCCTTAGCCTTTCTTGACCACCACATCTTTCGGGAGTTGCTCTTGATGGCTGAAGAGTTTGGACTCACAGGGTGTCATCCCATAACTTTGCCTTGCGAGTCATTTGTGATGGAGTACATAGTCTACCTGTTGAACAAGAATGCATCACTGGAGGTGGAGAAGGCATTGGTTTCCATGACATGTTGCAGAGCCTCTCATCCTGCTCTAGTCGTTGAACCATTCTCTGAGCCAATGATACTCCATAGCTTTTGAGCGGTTGTTAATTGAAATACAACCCCAAAGATTCAATTTGAAGGGGGCAACTAAACCATCTCTTGTCTTTGCACTTCATCAAATTTTGGTTCTGGATGAATGGTTGTAGTAAAGATTTTCATATCGAGATACCAGTTTTTTTCATAACAATTTGTTTGAGATATGGATCTTCTCATTAGGCCAATATGATTTAATGGCTTAGCAATGTTAAAACCTTGGGTTATTCCATCTTCTTCATTCCTTTTTTCAATTAGGCCTATTAATAGGCCTCGGCCTGGTTTTTTGCAGGGCCTGATTTCAGGTTGGGTTCAAGTTGCTTGTTAAGGCCTGTGCACGTGGCTTAGTAAGCCCGAAATATTTTTCGCACCCAGGCTAGTGCTAGCCCGGGCAAGATTTTTTTAAGGATATAATAGGAACATCAGATTTTCTTTTACCATATTTTTATGCCGACCTGCACGAACGTTGGTCCAGTTTCGGGTCTCATTATCATGAATTCAGGTCTGACTTTTTCAGGCCCAAAACTACACTTTTGTGCCCAGACCCGAGTCCGGTTGAGGGCGGCCAGCCCATTAACAGCCTTATTTTAGCTATTGCCATATGTCTACCAGGCTTTGGGAAGAGTTAATTTGTAGTATTTCATGATAGTACTACTAATAATCCATTTATTATGATATAATGATCAATATATCCAAAGTCAATTTGCTTCAGTATTTAAAAATAAATTGTAATTCAAGAAAGTAAAACTATAGTTTTAGGGATTGTTATATATTATTACACTATATTATTATTATTTTAAAATTAGAAAATTAAATAACTATGCTATATAATCAATAATCATAGTTATAATAATACATGAAAGTTTATGAATAATAACCATTATTATAATAACCAATTATTCTGATTATAATATTGTTGCTGTTTGGTATCAAAATAAATGTTGAACATCACTATGATAACAATATAAATTGGACAAATTATTATGCCACTAATTTTACATCTAGTTAATTATCATCAGTTTTACTATTTGTAATTCTTTTTACTATTTGTAATTCTTATAGTTGATATATAAGAGCATAATTATTGATTTACTTTGAACAAAATTATTTGTTGTTATATTTAATATATAACTTATTAGGAGAAAGTTTAAATAGGGTTGCAATGTTAAAATGTAGAACTAAGGAGCACCTTAAAAAGCAGATCATCCATTTTCAAGATTTTCATATATTCATAGATCTACTTGATATAAAGGAGTTTAAATTTTATTTATTATTAGAGATGAAAATAGATTTTCAGGTCATCCTCAGAAATTTTTAACACAAAAATTATATTTTCTGATAAAATTTGGAGGTGATTGTTTAAGATTACGCAGACCTCACTCATCTTATTATTTTTATATTAATGAGATAGATTAATGTGACATTAAAAGTTAATATTTTAAAAATTTTATAACTATATATTACTGTAAGTGTGATTATAATGTAATATTTTACAATGTAGTTTATGACTATTGCCTAATATTTTTAACATGGAACAAGTATAAATAACTGATATTTTTTAGGGGAATGTGTAACATCAGACAAGTAACCTTATTTCAGAAGTAAATGGTATGATGCCATACATTTCTTTGTTTTTATTAGTGTGCTCAAGTAACAGTAGATGAACGCACTATTACAGATAACATTTAGAGAGAGAAGTGTGCGGTTGCAAAGGCACAAGAAGTGGGTCTTTGATCAGTTGGCATAGGATGTTAGATGTTTTGCAATTTGGATCCACTTTCAACTCTGTCATTTCAATGTGTTTTTTCATAACATGGATTGGGCCCATGGTGGATGAGCTTAAGCAAATCCAGGGATATGGCTACCCTTGAAGCAGACACTCATGTGATGGTGTTTTGGACAGTTGTTTAATCATTCTGCATTATATGAAGGGTGCGGTTTCTATAATGTTGCAACCTTGAACAATCCAATTGAAGCGCATCTTAAAATTTTATCATAACATATAATTTTGTTGTAATAAATTCTTAGTATTATCTTAAAATCTATTTTCATATCTAACTAGAAAATTTTAAATTTAAAAAATGGTTAAAATCAGGTAGATCTATAAATATATGAAAATCTTGAAAATGGACGGTCTAGATAATGTGTTGCAAAATGCACTATTTCTGAGATTCAAAAACTTTTTTTTTTCATATTCATAGATCTCGACTTCGAGATGATTGATTAGAGGGTTTTTTCAACATTAAAACAATATTTTCGATGAATTTTTTAGGTGCATCAGTGATTCTACATTTTAAGGTTGTAACCTTATATAAACTTTTCCCTTATATAAAACGTCCGAAAATACATTATATAAAAGGTATTTGGAACAGTTGTTTAATTAGGCAACTTGAGGTACGTTGGATATGGTGATATCCAAATTATCCGCATAAGAAATCCCATATTAAATGTAAATCCACAAATGTAGGGCTGAGAATGGGTTGGATCAGGTGGATTTGGATTCAGATCCAAAAATTATACATGGGATGCGGATCTGATATATACAAGATCAGAATTTAGATTCTGATCCGATCAGATCCAGAATATCTGGATCTGGATCGGGATCCATATATGAAAAGTATACATGGAATAAGAATCTGGATCCGAATCCGGATCGGATCCAAAAAAATTATTTTATATATTATTTTATAACTATATAATATAATATATAATAATTTAACAACTGGGTCAGATCCAGATTGGTACTACCTGTACCAAAATTTGATGCAAATTATTATTAAGATCCAAAATTTGGATCTTGAATCCAACCTTGATCTGAATAGAGTTCAAAATTCGAGTTTTAAATCTAAACCGGATAAATTCTCTGCACTACATCAACGCTCCAAATTCTAGTAAATTAAGAGAGAAGGTGGTGGCGATGATTAGGCAATTGAAGCCCAATGTATTGTTGCAAAAGAACATGTTAATACCAGCACGCGAGTTTGCAACTTCGATATGCATGTACATGTTGGGAATCCTAATCAATCTAGGGAGATTAAAATGCAATTAAGAAATGAATTGTTTAACATTTTATCTATTTTCTTTTATTTAATTTCAAAGAATTATCCAAATGCACAAAACGATAAGTTGGAATCAATGTTCAGGAACTCGACTGAGTGGTGTTGGACTTAGTACCGTGCTGGCTGGTAGTAGTGTATAAATTCAGTAAATCAAAAATAAAACCTAAATTCATAAAAATTATATTTCTTTATATTCAAGTATAATTATGATGATTTTGAAAACCCTTTTTCTTTCTTTTTTTATCATTAGCTCTATTTTCAGAGTTTCCTCTTTTTGGAATTTTCTTAAATATTTTCAACTATAAATTTCTTTTTTCTAAATTCCATCCTTTATATATATTTTTGTTATTTTTAGACATTTAGGGCTCCTTATGGTTTAGTTTGAGTTTTACCAAGGTTTAAGAAATGTCGACCTCGAATGGAATCGGCCAATCCAAATCGGGAATCATCGGGGGCGAACTGCTTCCCACTAAATATTGAGAGCCAACAGTTTCCCAATATGAGATGTCGGATCTGGCCATTTCTTCATTTTTTTTCTATTTTTTAATTTTCAATGACCAATTCAATAGACTGGATCGCTGATCCCGATCTCCAATCATTGAACTGGATAAAAATCCGGATAGTTGATAGGATCACCAAACCGTTTTTAAAATCTTAGATTTTACATAAGCTTTTCATTTTTAATAATCTTTTTTCAAATTTAAAGCCTTATTAGGAATGTCTCTACTATCCACTCACACTCACCTGAGTAACTCCGCTCAAGCCAAGACCAAGCTGGAGATCCAAGCCGAGTTTCATATCATTCTTTGGAATGGTTGAAAATGAGTAAAATATTAAATAGTTGAAATGTTATACTTCCATTTGCTTTTGAGCATAAATTAATATGCAACATTTAATTATGTCAAATGGTTTGGCACGGTCTTAGTCATATCCAGAGCCATGACGCCACACCTTCTTCACCCACGATTTTGATGGGTGAAGAGCTTGTAGTGATCCAAATCAACTATCATTCCTCTTAAGAGTTTGATGGAAAAATGGATTGAGAGCCCAGAAAAAAATTTTCACCTTGTGACCTGGTCTGTCCATCTCAATGCACAGTGGATCAGTTACTTGGAGGATTTCTTTTTCTTTTTTTTTTTTGTGGAGGTTGTCCAATTTCATTTTCTTTTGATGGATATCAAGATTCAGGTGTTTTAGATTATTTTTTCCAGGTCCTTAATTCTTCAAAAATATGGACTTTTCAGTGCAGCCCGAAAACTATAGAGTGCAACTGTGGCAACATATGACATAGACCCTTATTTATATCCTTGATATTTTCTTTTTATCCCCTTTTCAAGTTAGAAAAATGTCCTTGATGGTGCTTGCTAATGATCACATATTCGTTACATTTCAAGGGAATATTGTCATTTCTTCACTTTAGAAGGAATGGGCATGGTTTCTTGGAAGTACCATTTATTTATTTTTGGTTAATTGTCCTAAGGAAAGAGGCCAGACCTTTAAAGGAGCCATTTTACAATTTGATATAACAGAAAAAGTAAAACAAATTGTTGATGAAGAAGCTAAAGCAATGATAAAATTGGTCTATGAATTTGTTACATTTAAACACAATTTTATGTTGGTTTTTACAAAGGACAAACAATGGCTTCGCTCCGCCTGCGAGTAAAGTCACGACTGGTGAAGTCAAAATCTATGTTGAATCATGTTTGTAGGGGTAGTTTGATTTAGGGTTATGGAAGTAAGAGAGGTTCTACATGAGGCCATGGAAGCCGGTGCTTTATCAAAATCTTTTGGCGCATTCTTTTTCAAAAGGAAGACTATGTACTCCATTACAAATGCCTCACAGGGCACTCTAAGAGGATTGGATCCTACAAAACTGAACTCTTCTTTAGCCATCAAAAGCAACTCTCTAAATATGGGGCGGTTAACAAAAGCAAAAGGAATCACA